TCCCAGGGGCACATTCGCTTATCCCAACTATTTTCCAAGCTCCTACCATATGCCAGGCACCATGTAGGTGCTAGGAAAGTGCTATATATAAAGGAAGCACCACTTTTCTTCCCAGATGTGGAAGTGATGCTGATATTGTAGATCTGTATTGGTGGGATTTTAAGCCAATATCCTGGGTTCAAGGGAGTGAAGGGAGACCCTCAAATGAGTCATCAGAGAAGGTTTGGGACATTTCTGGTCATTTCAGCCAGAAAGACACATTTGAGCTTCTGTTCTGAGTGTGAGTTGAGAAGTCAGGATGCCCACCAGGGTGCAAATGGGGGCCCAGGCTTGGACCACAGAGATCTGCCAACTGAAGATTGGTCTTGCCATGGCCAGAAGCATATGCCCTAAAAACAAAAGAGGATTATTGGAAAATGCGGTCTAATGAAAAGAAAGAAAACGGTTCCAAAAAAAGAAAAGAAAAGAAAAGAAAGAAAATAGTTCTTCCAGAAAGGGGTTGAGTCCCTCCCCCAGCACTGAGTGGACCCCACATGGTGGCACTGTCTCCCTGTCATGCCCTGGCCTGAGCCAGGTCACAAGTCCTTCCCTCTACACCCAGAGCATGTTGGGCAATCAGGGATCAACAAGGAAATAAACCCTGAGACCAGTGTGCAGCTACATCAGCCCTTCCTGACATTATCTTACCATGAAACCCTTTTAAAAGTACTCTAAATTTTGAGACATCCACAGGAGCGCTGGAGTTATCATTTGTGCCAGAGTTAGAGTAGAAACCAAAAACAGTCCGAAACACAAACTAGTTGCTGCAAAATTTGACAATTTTCCAAAATATTCCAAACAGAATTTTTATAATCACAATATAGAAAAATCAGATAATTTTTAAAGACCTAGTGTCGAAATTACAGCAAGATAAGACAACAGTTACTAACTAGATGACATACATCAACAATGTCAACCATTACTTGGTAAATACTTCTTATGCAGTTGAAGCATCACACTTGCAAAGCCATAGGCAATGTCTCCCCAGGATCACCTGCCACACTTATGTAGGGCACAGATTCAAAGGGAGATTATTTCTATTATAATAACAATATAAAATGTGTTCAACATTTTAGAAATCTTTTTTAAAAAGTATATTCAATTAAATTTTATGTGAAAAATATATAAAAATGCACTCTAAAAAGGGGTAAAAGTTGTTCACAATTCTACCAATCAAAACACACAAGTGTTTATTGAGTGCTTACTATGTGCTAGGCATTGTTCTAAACACCTCTCATGTGTTTTGTCATTACGTGTGAGTAGGCAATATTATTGTTCCAAGTAACTGAGATCCAAAGAAGTTAAATAACTTGCCTGAGGCCACATAGCTAGCACGGGTGGAAGTCAGGTTTAGATCCAAGTAATGTGGCTCCAGAGCCAGTCCTCCTAATCTTACTGAATGGAATTTTCCTCCATTACCCAACCCATTCCCCAGAGATCATTGCTACTGATATTTTTGTGTTTGTTCATCTAGCCTTTTTGCTATGGTCACACATAGAAACACAAACATAAAGGAGCTCATGCTAGACATATTATTTTGTGGCTTGCATTTTTCATTTAATATATCTAGAACATCTTTCCATTTCGACAGATATCTACATAATATTCCTTGGTGTGAATATAGCATAATTTCTTTAAACAACCTTCTATTATTGGATATTAAAAGAGTTTCTAAGAGTTAACTCTTGCAACTTGTGATAAGCATAACTTACTTTTCCTTACATTAAAATGTTTGGAGAAAATATATTACTAGTGTGGATTATTTTCATGGGACACTTATTAATGTCTCTTAAAACACTAAAGTTTTGTGGAGCCTTGGGAAGTGAATCTAGATACTTCACTAGCTTCAGTAAGCTTCAGCTTGTGATCCCCTTCTTCTGCCCTCCAATCACGTAGCAGAAACTGCTGTCACTCACCCTCCCACTCCACATTGCCAAACCATCCCCACAAGCTCAAATATCTCAGCCTAGAAGATAAGACCTAAAATAGCAGGGACCAGAGAGATATGGAGGATCCATACTTCTCCCCAGCTCAGGCCCAGCTTGTTGACTTTTGAGTGTTTGGTTGAGGAGACATGATTCCTTCAGTGAAGACATTAATGACCACCAGTGGGTGGGCAAACAAAGAATCGGGAAAAACTGGGTCGAGGAGAGATTGACTGGGGAGAAGTGGTGAGCCAGATGGTAGCTGCCAGCTATTGACAGCAAGATAAAGGTGGACTCATGTGTTTCCTTGAAGGACAGAGTAAAGTTTCAGATTGTTTTGATGACTTTTTGTTGGTGTCAGCCTGGGTTTCCTTGAATGAAGCTCCTTGAAAGACAGGACCCTCACCAAGTCCAGCTTGTGTATTTGTTAGGCATATGACTGCCTCAGTAGGAAGGAGAAGGGACTTGTTTTGAGTAATCCAGTAAGGATTCCTGGGAGAAAGAAGCTCAGGCAGGAGAAGAGGCAGTAGCAGTTAGGAAAGACAAGGCAAGCCAAATTTTTGACACTTGGGAAGCTGTGGTAGGATTTAGAGTTTACATTAAGAACTTTTATTTCACCATGGCATCTGGCTGACAAATGAGAGGAGGGAGAGATCACTGATGATTGCATAAGAGGTTTTATGGGCCAGGCCTGGAAGGGGCAAACTATAACTTCCAGAACCCAGTCACTCGGCCACCTCTACCTGCAAGAGAGGCTGGACTGTAATCATCTAGCTATGTTCTCAGGAGGAAATAATTTGGGGAACAACTACTTAACCTCTTTCAAGAGTCAAGACTTTGGGAAATTACTTAACATGGCTGTGCCTCAATTTCCCCCATCTTTAAAATGATGGGAGAGTACTTACTTTATGGGGATGTTTGAGCCATTAATGTATGTAGAGGAATGTGACCCATAAGAAGCACTCCGTAATTGTTGGCTTACTAATCTTAATCACTCAGGGTATCCCCAGCCCTAAGCAGTGGCTGGCAGTCAGCAGACCCCTATAAGTACTGTGTAATGACTATAACTCCAGGTGCTCTAGTCTGAGTAAATCCTTTGGGTTTGGACAGTTCATGAGGAACTTGACCCCTGGGATGGCTCATGGTGTTGTAGCCAGGAAACCTGAGTTGAGAAGACCATGGTGAAGATGGGCTCCTTCAGTGGGTATATAGACTAAAATATAGACCGAGAGGCACTGTCAGGAGCCTAGAACCATGGAGGATCAGAGGTCAAATGAGTCCATAGGTCAGCTCCAATGACTTTCTCAGACCAAGGCCGGGTAGGGTGGGAGGTCAGGGTAGAGTAGTTGCCCAGACTCTAACAGTCAGATCTGGGGAGCTGGAAGGGCAGGGCAGAGACCTGAGGAGCTAAGGTAATGCTCAAGAGCACCCTGCTCTCCACCTCCTTCAATTCGGGGCTGTTCCTGAGTGTCCCCATGCAGCCACAGACTGGGGATAGAACCACATCCTCGGCACAGGGAGCCTGGGATGTCACAAGTGACAAGCACTTACCTCGCCTTCCTCCCTGAGGAAGACCTTGTCCTCATACCCCAGCCTGCCAGACCTCAGACCACCCACCTTCTCCTCTCCAACCCCTCTCCCTTTCTGGCCATGAAGCAACCTGTCCCTCAGGTCCCATCCTGTAGGCAATCTGATGTTTCACTGTGAATGACAAAAGACATTCACAAACAAGCTGCTTGAGCAAGAGGCGGTGAATTCCCTGTCCTCAGAGAGATTAAGGCAAACACTGCATGACTCACTGGGATTTTGCAGTTGGACTTACTGGCAATTGGATCCGATGATCTTTAAATGTTACCTTTGAGAAGTGATGAATCGGCAATTCAAGCATTCTTTCCCATGACGTGGCAGGATGCCACCCTCCGCCCCCATGGCCTGGAGTTTCCATAGTTCAGAGTCACTCCTTGGGGGCACCTAAAAAAAGGGGGCTGTGTCTCCATAAGGGCCCTGTGCAAGTGTACTAGGGCAAAACAGGAGGTAGCCCTCAGCCCACTCTGCTTGAGATGCAGCTAGCTGAGTAGATGATAGTTTCCATGGAAGGCAGAGGAACCCAGATCTGTTCTGGTGGAGCTACAGGGGCCACCATGGGGAAGGAAGCTCCCATGCCCCACCTTGACCGGCAAGGCCAAGGGTTAGGGGGGACCACTGAGAGGCAGGCATTGCCCACGTCCTGTCAGGGTCATTTGTGAGAATCAAACCGGGAGGTCAGGAAGGAGAGGAGCAGCTGGGGTGGAGAGATAGAACTTTCTAGCCTGGCTTAGCAACCCTGAGAGATAGTTGGGGAGGAGCTGTCATGAGGAGTGTCACCAGAGAGGAATTTGCACTGTGTGTCAGGATTTCACAGCCCCTGGTCAGGAAGGAAGTGAGGGTCACAGAGTGGGGAGAAGATTGGGTCATTCGAAGGCACTGGGGTCCAGACCCTATCTAATTGGACTCTGCTCTAATAGCCTTCCTCCCAGACCCTGGGAAGGGGAGCAGGCAGGTGTCTAGAAACCCCTTCTATAGGCTCCAGAGCCTTCCCATCACTCAAAGCTTCCCCCTTCTGGAGTGATAAGGACTTTCTTTTCCTCCTTCCTTCTCATCTCCCTTGTAGGAAGAGATGACCTTTTGCTGCTTTGGGACCATCTTTGCCACACTGAAGTGCCCCCCATCTCTAGTAGAGCAGCCCTGTGCCTCACAGGTATTTGCTAAGTGCTCACTGCCCAGTGAAGTCTGTCTTTCGCTCTTGAGCTCCCTGTCCAGGGCAGTCAACTTGGAGGGCTGGGGTCTGGTTCCAGCAATGCTGGCATATTCTACAGTCAGAAGGGGGTCAGGCATGGGCTTCAGATTGGGCTGGGTGTTGACATAGATGGAGTCCTCAGAGCCAAATTGGTTCAGGTGGGTAAGTGAGGCATAGCAGATGGCCCCAGTGTCCTCATCAGAGCCCATCTGTCGATTGGAGCCCTGGGAATCAAAGAAGACAGACATTCATTGTACAGATCATAGCTGGGAGTGGTCAGTGGCCCCCGGGGCTGCCCAGAGCTGGGTGGAGGACAGAGACAGGAATAAGGTGTGGAACAGAGTATGGACCTTGCAGAGCCTCCGGGAATGGCTAAAGGCAGCAGGGTCGCCATCACTGAAGACATTTAAGAATAGGCTAAGGAAGAGCACACGGGGTGTGATCCATGGCCCAATAGCACCAGCAGCCCCTGGCAGTTTGATAAAATCTCGGGCTCCACCTAAGATCTATGAAGGCAGTCTCTGGGGATGGGGCCCAGGAAATTCTGTTTGAACAAGTTCTCCAGGTGATTTGTATGCAAACTCAAGTTTGAAGAACATTGAGCTAGAAGAGCACTTGGTAGGGATGCCATTTAAGAGTTGATTCCAGCATTACAGAAGGTTGAACCAGATGACTTTAGATCCTCCCAATCCTGCGATTCTGTGATTTCAAGAGCCTTAGGACTTTAGACAAGACAGACCTACCCAATGGCAACGTCCCGGTCCCCAGCTCCTGATGAAAGAGCACCTCGGGAGCCATGTTTTTACCATGGGACCACTGTCCCCCCAGCTGACTGGACTGGTGGCAGCCACACCATGAGATGGACTCCCCATTAACAGTTGACCCCTGTGGGGGTGAAGATAAAAAGCTGGGGCAGTCAACTTCTTTTTCTCTCTAAGGGGTTTGAATTGGGAAGGATGGGGCCAAGGGTGCATGCTGATGAGGCAATAGGAGCGTGAGGAGTCACGAGTGAGCCCAAGTCCAGAGTGAACAGAAACTACAAGTAAATACAAGCTGGGAAGCTGAAAACAACAACAACACTGACAAACAAGATACCCAGGAAAGCTGAGATCGCCTCTACCCTGGTGAGGGGTCCTTCCTATGCACAGTGCTCTGCTCTTTCGGGGCTGAGATGTTGTTATAGATGTGGTGTGATTTGTCCTCACCTATGAAGAAAAGAGTCCAGTTTGGGGCAGGGACCTCTCCCTAGGTCCTGTTCCCCTGGGAAGGCAGGGGTGCTGGAGGTCCCCGCTGGGCTGAGGGACCAGGGCTGGGTCTGGAAATCCTACCCTGTCCTGGGGAGTTCACTGGTGGCCAGCACAGAGGGGTGTCCAGAGATCAGACGTTGGTGCCAAGGAGCAAATCAGACTGGTGGCATGCAGCTAATTTCCATAAAACTGGTAAAGCTGAATCAATTCCAGTCACTGAAAGTTCCAAATTTAAACATCCATTTAAATATAATCTATTTGCTGGTGAAATTGTCTATAATGCCTTTCAAAATTTTGGACCAGGAACCACAATGAGAAACATTTTATCTTACTCCCACATATACAAACACACACACTCATGCACACACACACACACTCTCTCTCTCTCCTAAAATAAAAGTCAAATGAAAAAATATTTATCCTTCCAATGTGCAAACCACTGTGACATTTTGCTTTTCTATTTTATTTTATGAAAATAGTATTGTGACCCACTAAATTGACTTTACATAGCACAGTTTGAAAAATATGTGTATATAATTTTACAACCCATTACTATTTAGGATTTTTATAGCTCGAAAAATTAAAATCATTGAAGTCCAACATAGTGCTGACCCGCTTCCACATTTCAATCTTGTCAACAGACACATCACACTGGATTATATGGTTAATAAATATGCAGCACATATGTGCTAAACAAACCAAACAACATAAACAAGGTAGGCATCATCAAAAGGAACTAATCTAATAAGTCTTGCACAAAATGCTGGTGATTTTACATGTGATTAATGCTAAAACCTTGCAACTTGGGAGATTAAAAAGTCCTTCAATGCTTTTTGGAAGACAAATTTTTAAAAACAATAGTGATGATTAAAAAACAATACTGTTGCCCAGAAAGGTTTTTAGATAAATTTGTTTTAAAATCCTTAGCTAAAAGAAGATGGCAAAATATACGCTCCCAAATGGATACTAGAATTCCCGGTTTTAGGCAAATGAGGCTTGGAGGGTGCTGACCTTGATTCTGAAGAGAATGATCCCGCCTGCTTCTCTGACAAAGCAAGAGAACCCAGGGATCCTGACCACTTCACCTCACAGGCCTCAGTTTCCTTGTTGGTAAAATGGGCATGAGAAGCCTTCGCTTCAGGCTCGCGGGCATGGGGACATCATGGCTAAGCCCTGGGTGGTCTGCCCAGAGCCAGCACTGGGGTTTACCTTTCCTGGCGCTTCTGCAGGCTTTCCTGAAGTACAGGATCATGAGGAGGGTGAGCACCAGCGGCAGTAGGACAGCCACCTTCGAGCTGGGAACGATGAGCTGCCAGTTGCCTTGGGGGCTTTGGAACAAGGAACGACCAGCCAGGTGAGGAAAGTGGGAGTCAAACTTCTGTCCAGAAGCCATCCCTTTCCCCATGCGGGTGGCCATGACAGACTCCTGCTGAGCTGGCCAGGAGGCAGCCCCATGGTCAAGGGCTCTGCCCCGGAAGCCATGCACGTCCAGTCACGCCTGGGCTTGTTTCCTCCTCTGTGAAACGGGGATGTGTTTGCTCCTTTTCCCTTTCTGGCTGCTGTCCCCTAACTTGCCCCCGGGCCCTTGTAGCAGGGTCTGTACTCACCCCTCCCACATCCTGCTCTCAACTATTCTTGGTCCCGTTTCCTCACCCCTGCCCATGAGATGCTCTCAGCTCTTGGAATACTGGTGTCCTGTGACCAACAGCGCTGCCACATAATAAAAGCCTTTGAAGAGGACCTGTCTTAAGTCAGAGGCAGAGCAATAAGGTAGGCTTCCTTACACCACAGCAGGCTCCCAGGGAAGGTGTCTGGGGTGTCAAGGGTCGAAGCCCTAAGCCCAGGAGGTGGCAACTCTGGGCCACCTCGCTGCTCCATGGCCAGCACCACCTAGTTTCTGGGTATAACGCCTTGAAGCAAGGAACCAGGGTTTGTGAGAGCCCTGGGCTCCCATCGCAGTGATGGTGGGTGGGGAGAAGGTAGGGGAGGATGGAAGCCAGAAGAAAAACAGCTGTCGGGTCAGTCCCAGGAGCTGGGGCCCTGGAACCATCAGGCAAGGGGAGAGAAGAAATCAGTCCACGGGTTTGTAGGAACTACAGAGTGCGCCCTTCCCCGGGACCCCTGCAGCTTTGGGATAGAGAAGGGCTGGAAGAGGGGAGAGGCAAATGAGGCAGCGTTGGTCACGTGCCTGGCATTGGGCCAGTGCCAATCCCACCTCATCCTCACAGCCACTCGGTGGTTGCCAACTGGGGGTGCTTGTGTCCCCCAAGGCAAACTTGGCAATGTCTGGAGACACTTGGGTTTGGTTGTCACAACTGGATGGTCTGGGGGAGGTTTGCGCTGTTGCTCTCTAATGGGTAGCAGCCAGGGATGCTGCCAAATATCCTACAGTGCACAGGACACCCCTCAGACCAAATGTCAATAGTGCCAAAGAAAGCGACCCTTCTGTAAGGTGAGGATGTCATTGGCCCCACTCTGCTGATGAGAAAACTGAGGTTTAAAGAGGTGAAGTGACCTTATGCAAACAGTTTGACTCCCATTTCATCCCTTGAGAGCCAGGTAGCGGTGGGGACATGGTACCTGGAGGCATTTGGCACAGTTGGCCGTGGGTAGGAGGAAGTGGAGGGCGGAGAAGAAGGGGAAGGAGGTGACAGTACCTGTCAGTGACAGGGCTGGTGGCAGAGGTCCAAGCTGTGGTCCCGCTGGGGGTGCTCCTGGTGGTAGGCAGGTTTGAAGCTGTAAGAGATGACAATGAGGGGAGCACTCCCATGTGTTTGCCCCACACTCACCACTTCTAGCCCTTGGCCCTGGGGAGGAGGAGCCCACACACGGCCCTGGGCCAAGTGGGGACTCTGAGAAGCACCATATGCCCTGCAAACGAATGAAGGTGTTACTCTGTGTGGTGTGGGATTTCCCTCACAGTCAAGTGCTCCAGTGCAAGTGTCTTTATGTTAGGATCCCATGGTCACTGGTATATTGGATCTATTGCACAGTCTTTTCTGCTTTCATTGTTCTTGACCATGTCATGAACTCTCAACCTATAATGCATCCCTCCCACCTCCCCCCACTTTTGTCTCTTCTGGATCAATTCCTGCTCACTCATAAGGCCCAAGTGGTATCACCTCCACTGGCGAGTCCTACAAGAGAATCCATACCACTGCTTTCTCCAGGAGCCTTGTCCCTCCCTTCACTGGGCCGCCATCCAACATGCTTCCATTAGGCCACCTATCACCCACCATCCTAACCCTTCACTTATGTGTCCGCCTTTGGTGCAGGGGTCGGAGGGGGTGCTGTGGAGGATCCAGCACAGGATAGTCTCCGGGTGTTTGATTCCCCTTCCGGAGTGCAGCCCCCGCCCTCCATGGAGTGGACAGTGAGCCATGGCTTGGGTGGTGACTGACCAAGCAGCTGACCAAGGTCCTCTGGGCGCCCAGCTCACCGAATGGCTGAGCAGGCTTGGCAGCTGGGCAGGGGTCTAGGAAGACGCCATTCAAGCCCTGGCCATCACAGGGAACCACAGGGGCTTTTGCAAGTCTGAGGTTTTTCAGGAAAAACACTCAGGACCTCATTCAGGAGTACCACCCAGCTTCCCACCTGAGGGAAGGTCTCTTGACTCTAAAGAGCAGGTCCAAGGTGAAGACCCAGGCTCTCTGAGCCCTTTGCCGCTCCCTGTCTCACCCCCAAAGTCCCGTGTCTGCCTTACTAGCTGGCTGTCTCCGGTCTGTCCACATTTTTTAACCCACCCAGTCACCTGCCACTCAAGCACAACCCTTCTAGAGAAGGTTAAGGGTTAGGGGTTAGGGCCAGGAGTCGAGATGCCCAGGAATGGCCCAATCAGCCAGTCTTGCTCAAACCTGAGGCGGCCTTACAGTCTTACAAATCAATGGATGAGTCTTGTTAGTAACAACAAAAATGTTCAGAGAAATGCATGTGGTGGGAAAGAAGAACCAAGTGAGCCAAGAGGTCTGAGTTCTGGTGCCGGATCTGCCCTTAACCAGCAGTGACCTTGGGCAAGGGGCACCGATTTTTGGCTGTAAGAGCACTGAAGACAATTATTTTGGAGTCCTTCCTAGCTCTAACATCTTGTGATTTAGGACGGATACCACCAGACGGATGTTTCTATGAACAAAGATCCTGGGGGATTTGTAGATTCCACATGAATAAGATCCAGAGTCTTCTACCCTGAGCTCAGTCATGGTGATGATGAAGTAGCCCCATCTGACGTTATCCTGAATGGAGTTTCGAGGTTTCCAGGGCACCCCCGGGAGCCTGGGGTAGGTGGCTAACAGGGTACAGGTCCATGCTGATACCTGCCTGCACCAGACTTTCACCGGTTTTGAGCCTTGCTGAGACTGGTACGGGCACTTCACGGAGACTGACTTTCCTTCCAGTTGAGGCAGCGACTCTGGCTTCTGTTCCCATGAGCCTGAAAATACGCTCTCATGGCAGGGAGACATTCCTCAGATACTGCGGGGCTGTCAGGTGGGCACCTTGCTCCTCAGAATGTGCCCCAGACCCAGGGGCCTCTGGCCACAGCCCAGCCTGCCTGGGCCCTCTCTCTGCATTGCCCCCTTCACGCTCACCTCACCGGGCCATCTCCCCCTCCTCGTGTCCAGTTCCCTCCCTCTGCCCTCCTCATCACCTGAGGCCAGGAGCACCAGCAGGACAGGGGGCAGCAGGCATGTGGCCTACTGGGCCATGGGCCCTCTTCTTGAGCTGGGGTGGGAGCAGGGAAGCCCTGAGGAGAGGGAGCCAGTGCTGGGGCACAGGGGTGGGGATTCGGCCCAGCCACTCTCCCTTGTCCGGGGCGGGGGGGGGGGCGCGGAAAAAGAGCTGAGGAAGGCAAAGTCCTCAAGGGGGCAGCGGGAGGCCTGGGAGGAGGGGAGGTCTTGGCCTGTAGGCGGAACCCTCCTGCTGCAGGTGCTACATGCGCACTGGCTCCGGTCTCAGGGCTGAGGCTCCAGGGGGACTCTGAAGCTTCTGTCGGCTCTCTCGTGCCCTGCCTCTTCCTCCTTGTCACTCTAGGGTCGGGGTGTAGAAGGCTGTGAAAGTCCAGGAAGAAACTGGTGAAACCAGAACCTATTTCTCCTTTCTCCATCTGTCCTCTATCCTACCACTTCCTCCCGGCCCCAACCACCGCCTCCCCACTCAAGTAAAAAGCCCCGGCTAAAGGTGAGCGACAGTTAGGGAACCTCTTTGGAGGTGCCCAGTGGTCTGAGACTTCCTGCCCAGGCCTGCCTGGGAGGCCAGGAGCTCTGTAGGGATTGGAGGGGCAGAGGAGAAAGGAGAGGGAGAGTCATTTCCAGGAACGGAGGTGCAGGAAATGCCCCTGGCAAGGGTGGGAGACAGTGAAGCTGGGGACATAGCTGGCGGGGGTGGGTAGAAGATAGATGCAGAAGGACGGGACCTGGAGGGGGTCTCCTCCTCCAGGCCACCCCATGTCCCCAGCTCTCAGCCTGCCATAATCACCCCATCAGCATTTGTCAAAAGACCACCGTAATCAAGCACATTTTAAGGAATAATTGTCATTAGAAGAAGAGCTACAGAAAAGCTATCACCACAGGCTCTTTACGACCAAGAAAGGAGAAAACCCCATGAAAATGCAGCGTGGCAGGTCAGGTTTGTGGGGCGCAGGCTGTGAGGTGGAGATTAGCACAGGAGGCCGGAAGTGCCCAGGGACCAGCCGGGATGGGAAGGACAGGCAGCAGGCCAGGGTGTGCAGCGTTCTGAGGACAGGACGCTCTCCTGGATGGCGAGGGGGTGTTGGGGCTTCAGACCCTGCAGCGGCCGGTTGGGGGTGGGGGGGGTGGCGGGCTGCCCCGGGAGGGGCCTGGCTCTCTGCAGCTGGGGCAGCCCCCAAAGGGGGCCAGCAGAGGAGGCCTTCCTCTCTCACTGCTCCCAGCAGTGGGGCAAGTCCATCAGCCTGAAGGAGGAGTATCCACCGACTCAATATGATGCAGCCATGTGGGAGAACTGTGACCCTAAGGCTTGCTTGCTGGCCTCCCCGCGGGGGCTTGTGTGTCCCACGATGACAGATCTGCCTGCCACACTCTGCAGAGCAAATCCCCCTCGGTGCTGGGTTTTCTTTCCGCGGCCCTGCCCTTGGTCACGACAGGAAGCCCTTCCCAGGTGTGTCCCGTCATCACAGCCCACTGCTCAGGAGGCTTTGTTGCCTTACCACTAAAGGCAACGGCTGCCCCGGCCTGTCTTGATACCCCCACCTGCCGTGCACCTGCCTGCCCTCTGACTGCCAGGGCTCGGGGTCCACCTGTAGCTCCAGGGAGAGGAGGAAGAACAGGAAGGAGAAAATGAGAGGCTGGGGCTTTGAGGAAAATGTCCCAGAGCACTGGAGGTCCAAAGAGGCCACCCAGGCCCATCGGAGGTGGAGAGCTGGGGCAGGGGGTCTGGACCCCTTTCTCAGAGCCCTGTGTCCTTACTGTGGAGTTCATGTGGGAGCAGGCTCCATGGGTGGGCACCTCGTGCAGGCTCACGCCATTCCAAGAGCCCCTCATCCTGGGCAGAGAGGGATGGTAGGTCTCCTAACAGCTTCCCTGCCTAGCATCAGGGCACCGCCAAAGGCCTCCGCCTGGGTCCAGCCCCCACCACCTGGGGCCTGACCGTGTGCCCCTCTGCCCTCCCTGGCCCCTTCCAACTGAGGGCAAAACAGAGAAATAGGGTCCAAAGGTCTTCAATGCAGACAAAGCCCACTAGAGCTAGAGGAGAGCTTGAGGACCAGCAATCATGAGGCATTAACTCAGCTGTGTGAGGTTCAGGCCGCTCCATTTTATCCTGAAAGCAGTCTTGAGAGGTAGGAGTTAGTGTCCCTTTTCACAAGAGAGGAAAATGAGACCCGAAAGGGTTAGTGACTCGCACAGGGTTACACAGTGACAGGTGGCCTCACTGAGTCCCAGTCCTGAGCCCTCTGCGGCTCTCCCACAGGACATCCTGTTCTCAGACGAGGCAGGGCTGTCAGCATGCTGTTGTAGGATCTCGAGTGGAGGGCGGCTCTTCGGGAGCTATTTTCCTCCAGGGAAGTTAAGCCCCCTCCCCCCCCATTAGACACCAAAGTCGTGGCCACACCCTCCTGCTAAGGACGATGGATTTCATTGTGTGTGTGTGTGTGTGTGTGTGTGTGTGTGTGTGTGTCCTGGCACCAGGCTTTTCCGTTCCTCAATCTGAGTCTCTCCTCTAGTGCCCTCTCCTGGACGTAGGACAGAGGTGCCTCCTCCCTGCTGTCCCCCAGAATTACCTCCCGCCCCTTCCTCTCTCCCCGCGTCCATTCTGGAGTGGCCCCCCAGCTACTCATCAAGGCCCGGTCTGTGTCACTCTCCTGACTGTGACATTTGCTCTCGTACCGGGGAGGTCCCTGCCCCGGGGCGCAGAGTGGAGATGTCACATCGATCCCTAGGTGCTTATTTCAGCTGCTCCAGGCTGGTGGAACCCCTACTCCAGGGGACGAATCCAGCCCATATTCACCAGTCTTCACTGTGGAAGAGGCCAAGTCTGAGCCAAGAGCCAGTGAAGCAGAGGCCAGACTCCTAGGGCCATAGGACCCCTGGTAAGGCTCCTTGGCTCCATCCTCCCCACCCCTTCCCCACCCAGGCATCCCTCCAGGCTGTGCTCTGCTCCAAGCTGTGCTTGCTGGGTCACAAGTAGCTCCTCTCTTCCCAGGGGACAATGAGTCCCAGGGGAAGGTGGGTGATCTACTCTTTCTCGGAGCCGTGGCCTCCCCTGCCGTGGACTCTCGAGGGCCCTCAGTCTCCTGTGGGAGCTCAGACCTGGAGCTGGGAACTGAGGGAGAAAGCCCTGAGTGCAGCCTCTGCATGCCAGTCTGGGGACAGGCTGGTCCTGCAGCCCAAGGGCTCTGGGCGACCTGGGAGGGCTGGCCAATGGGTAGCACCAGTGGGAGGGTGGGCTCTGCTGGCTCCCAGGACTTGAGGGACAAGCAGCTGCCGTCAGGACAGGACAAATCCAGATGCCCATCAGAGGACGCAGGGCCTTGAGGGTGGGGGACTTGGACCATTCTGGGGTCCCCTGCTGCCAACACCCCTGTGGACCTCCAGCTCCTAGTCGCTGTTTTTTCCCCTCCAAGATGGGGCCCTTGACACACTGGTTGCCTCTGGGACTCTTTCTTCCCCAAACCCATGGGAAGCTTGAGGGGAGCAGAGGGAAGCTGAGGACACAGGGTTCCAGATGGGGAGAGGACCTCTGTCCCCCTGTCCGCTCCCTCCCCTCTGCTCCATAGCAAGGGGTTCTGAGGCCCATGGGACCTGGAGCTCTCTGTGTACAGCACCATCAGGACTTCCCCACCACCCAGCTGGGACCCAGGACTCTGTGGCTCTGAGCAGAATCCCCTCAGTGGCTTCCCCTGGGGTTTCCTGCCTTGTACTCCCCACTCTGGGGGATGTCCCAGGTTCCTGGCAGCTCAAGGGGACTGAGCAGGTGAAGAGCAGCCTCTGGTTCTGGGGAGGCCTGAGTCCAGCCTTGAGCAAGTCCTCAGCCTGGCTCCAGTTCAGACAGGTCCCCATCTTCACTCTCCTCTGGCCTCCAAAGGCCCCTCCAGGAGGAGCTCACACACTCCATAGTTAAGTGGCCTCAGACCAAGCAGGCTTCCATGGAGGCTCCAGTCTTCTGAGTGGGTCCCTCCAGGGTCTAGCAGGATCATTGCACACCCTGTAGCCTGTGAGGACAAGGAGAGAGATGAAGACAGGCAGGGTTCCTGCTCTCTCCTCCTCCCATGATCCTGGGCCAGTCCATCCCCTCTTCTGGCTCTGCCCTCTGCTTCCTGCCAGGTCAGCCCCAGAGGATTATGGTGTGCTGTTCCTGCCTGCCCACCCTCCTCCCTCGCCTGGGTGCCAAGTAGTCTTTGTGGCTGGACCCAGGGAAGGACATACCGCCTGGGGAGAGTGCAGTCAGGCGCTTTGGCAAGTGTGTCAGACCCCGGTGCTCTGCCCTCAGGAGGCTGGGAGGGTGGGCTGTACTCACTTCCCATGTGTCTCTTCTTCCAGAACCCATAGACCAGGATCAACATCACAGACACTGGGAGGAAAATCAGCATCCCCAGGAGCACAGTGAGATACGAATCCTGGTGCCTGAGGGGATAGGACAGAGCAGGGAGGAGGTGAGCACTCAGTTGCCCCCACCCTGACCCATGTCTTTCTGCATGCCCCATGAGAGGAGCCCGGACCTGGAGAAATCTTCACAGCCCTGGTGGGAGTGTTTGCCTCCCTTTCTTGGGGACCCAGCTGTGGCAGGAGGAAGTGAGGAGCTCAGAGGTCAGAGGAAGAAGTCCCAGGTGGAGGGGGGCATCTTTCCACTTTAAAGCTTCCCCTCCATTGTTCCCCCAAACATGACTGTGCATCGCTGAGGATGAGGACTCTAAGAGACTCCCATTTGTAACAGATGAGACTGAGAGTCTTGCTCTCATAGAGAGAGCCTCTCCTTGTGGCCCTTCCCTCCTTTGTCCTCTGAAGCAGATGTGATAGGTACATGGCCTGTATCCCCTTGCACCAGCCCTCAGCACCTCCATCTAAATTTTTTTCAGCCTGAGGACTTTCTCCTGTTCTAGAGCCCTCATTGCTACCCATGGCAGGCAGCCCCCGACTGATGACCAACACGAATAGTGTTGGTGCAAGAGAAGCTGTATCAATACCCCAGCTCCCTCACCCTTCACCTGGCAATCTGATCCTGGGCCCCAGAGCCTCCCCTAGGCTTGAGCTCTGCTGCCCACAATGGTGGCCAGCTTGATTAAGTTCTCTGCCAACTGTTTCTTGTCTCCCTTCCCCATGCTCTTTCCAGTACTTCTGGTCCCAGAGGCTGCTTCTGGGGGAACCCAAATTAAAGCACCCACCATTTCCCACTTCCTACCCCCAAGCCACATCCTTGTCCTGCCCCAACCTTCTCCTCTCCATCCACAGACTCTTACACTAACCCGTCCCCAACCCTCACTTCTCACTGCCATCCTTTATGTCACATCTCCATCCTGGCATCTGGCCTCCCACCCACCTCCCATTCAGCAGCAGGCCAGACTGACTTCCTGCAAAGGAAAGCTCTGCTATAACATCTGCACCTTGAGGTCTGTTCAGGCAGCAATTACTGTTGCCTTATCTGGCCAAAAGTCACCCAAGCCCAGGACCCACAGGTACCTGATAGGGGATAATTTGTTGAGGAGAGCCCCGCTAGTGTGGCACATTCCCGTGGTGGGTGATCTGGTGTGCAGGTGCCCAGCCCTGGTGGACATGGACGCTGGGCCAGCAGAGGAGGCTCTGGCATCACTGGGAGACACAGTCACTGTCTGGGATTCCACGGTCCTCCTGGGCCCCGTGGCAGAAGGGCCAGTGCCGGTGAAGCTGAAGCCCGTCATGGAGGTCAGTCTGATGGACTCTGAGGCAGTGGGGGGCACGAGTCTGGTCAAGGTGAGGAGGCCAGGTGTGAGCACTGTCATACTGGTGGTGAAAGGGGCATCAGGGCCTGAGGTGGGGGCTGGGCCCGATGTGACAACAATTCCACTCTTGAGGATATTGGCCAGCTGTCTAAGAGGAGTGCTTCTCTTGGTCGTGGAGGCTAAGGGTCCAGAGAGAAAGGAACGTTAGACTGAATAGGGGGCCTCACCGATGGGAGCAGATCTTCGTCTCCCCTCCTTGACCTTGGACCCAGGATTCTGCTCTGCTGTGTGGCCAGATGTGGGCTTGCCAGGGAGAAGAAGTGGGCACAGTAAAGAAGGAAGAGACTCTCATAGTTTCTTTAGCCTACCCTGTCAAGCCAACTCCCCTCCCAGTCCCCATCTCTCTAGTTGCTTCCAGACCCTCTGGATTGAGGATTCCTGTGCGCCAAAGAGATCTCTTCACTATGATGTTGAACAGGGACTTTTCCAGGTGCTCCATAATTGGTGACCAAGGTCCAGAAATGAGGACAAGGAAGCATCGAAGGCCCGCATTCCAAAGAATGCCTCCAGCAGCAGGGTCAGATGCCCTCCTTAGGAGCTTACGAAGAGACACCTACTCCTATCATCCACCCCCTCAGCCTTTTACCTCCCATTTCCTAGGAGGCTGGCATTGGATGGTGGAAGAGGAAGGGGTTGTAGGAAGCATGAGGTCCCATCTGGGGCAGTGTGGTGGAGTCTATCTCTGCAGAGAATGAGAGAATTGGAGAGAGATGGTGGGGGAGAGAGAGGGCTGGCACAGGCTGCCGCATCCCATGACTGTGCATGGCAAGGACACACTCCTGAGGGCCAAATGGCCACCATGGAAGGTACCCATCTTTCTGGGCAAGGGAACCCAGAACAAGTGGCATTGGTGAGAGTGGGGATAGGGGAAGAGGCTGACCTGGAGCCAGACCTCCCTCAACACCCTACTCAGCAGTGGGGAGACCTCAAAGACCCTTCAGAGAACTCATGTGTAGGTGACTTGGGAGAGCCAACATTTAGACACCCACCTTACAGAGGATCACAAAGGGCTGGGTAGAAAAGAGTAACACCCAACAGAAAGAGAACTATAGCGGCAGTGAAGTCACACAACCGCTTCCCTTTCTTCACTCCTGCCTCAATGCACCAGGGGGTTGGAAGGAAAAAGCAGGACGAGGTACTGAGAAGAACCCCACCTTCCCCACCTGCCAAGATGAAGGAGAGGGAGTTAGGCAGCAGGCTACCCTCTTCCCTACTCTGGGTGGCTTGGGCCATAACGTGTGGTCTTCAAGAAGGAGTAGAAGAGCATATATTGCTAGAAGATTAGAGTTTTTACATGGGCTGAGGATTTTTTATTTCCTAATAACTGAAAAGGTCTGCAAAGTTGGAATCTCCCCAAATGGTCTTTAAAAGGTAGACCATGGGATTTGACAATGGAGGGGGTGGGGGATATGCAAAGAGAAAAACAAAACCATTTCATGTTTGTATCCCTGCAAATTAAGACTTCGATATACTTGGTTTCAACTATTCCCTGGGTCTAAAGCAGAACGGGAGAGGGGGAATGAGATTTGGCCCCACATCTTAGAGACAGCAGTTGCCCTAGCTCAGACACAACAGAAGAGGGGGATGCAGGTGGGTCAGGGGAATGGGGAAGGGTGGATAACTCATGTCATCATCATTGGCTGCTTTTTTCAGATTCTCTTGCTGGTTCCTCACCCTTTCCTATCGTATAAATGTGGAAGGACCTCAGGCTTGGCCCTTCTCTGTTTTTCTATACTGAAGGGAGAACTTTTATATCCCCTTGATTTTTTAACAGCTTTTTTGAGATATTATTCACATTCCATATACCACACCCATTTGTAGCACCAAATTCAATGACTTCTAGTATATTCACAGAGTCGTGCAGCCACCACCAGAGTCGTGCAGCCAGTCAATTTTAGAACATATGCATCATCTCCAAAAGAAATCCCCACCCCTTAGCTATTACCCTCTACCTCCCTTTCTTTTCCCCCAGGCCTAAGCAACAACTAATCCTCTTTCTGTCTGTATAGATTTCTCAAATCCCCTAGACTTTAAACTATCTTCACAGAGGGGTGCCTGTGTGGCTCAATCGGTTAAGCATCTGACTTTGGCTCAGGTCCTGATCTCAGGGTTGTGAGATCCTTGTCCCTTGTCCCTCTGGCTCCCTGCTCAGTGGGCAGTCTGCTTCTCCCTCTCACTCTGCCCCTTCCCTCCCCTACTCATGCTTGCTCTCTCTCTCTCTCTCTCAAATAAATGGATAAAAAAAATCTTTAAAAAAAGAACCAATAAAAATAAACTATCTTCACAGAGATACTTCCAAGTATATCCCCAGCTCTGACCTCTCACCTGAGCTCCAGGCTGATATATTCACGCTGATCCATTTGCCCACCTGGAGTTCTAGGAGGCCTCTTAAACTTAACATGACCAAAGACAGCTCTTGATTTTTCTCCTCCAAACTGGCTCATCTCCAGAGTCACCCTACCCAATAAATGGTAGTGTCATGCACCTTGCTGATGGAATAGAAAACCTTAGAGTCACTCTTGATTCCTCCCTTTCGTTCACCTCCTGTCTTACCTCCAAAGTGTACAGGGTGGGCAGGAAGTCTGAACATCACAGATTTGAACCCTTCCACTTCTCTCCACCTCCAGGGCCCATGTCCTACTTTAAGACACTGTCATTCTCGGCCAGAATACCCACAGTGGTTTCTCTGCTCATCTTTTACCCTTCCACAATCCATCCTCCACACAGCAGCTGTTATAATCTTAAAGACAAGCCACAACACACCCCTGTAAACTCTCCAATAGCTTCCTATTGTACTTAGAATAAAACTCAAACTCCACATCATAGACTTTAGGGCTGCTCTTTGACTCTCCCAACCTCATCTCCTGCCACTGTGCCCCACACTCAATATGGGGCAGCCACACAGCCCTGCCTTATACAAGCCCAGCTCTTTCTCACCTCAGGGCTTTACATGCAATTCTCCCCGCCTAGAATATGAAGCACCCACATTTCAAGAGGGCTAGAAAGCTCTCCTCATGCAAGACTCTGCTTGATGTCATCTGCCAGGGAGGTCCTCTCTGGTCTCTGGTGCTTCAATAGCTCCCCCACCACTGAGTTACTTTCTAGTTTGTCACACAGTTTGATTTTCTTAAGAATTTTCTTTAAGATTTTCTTTAATCTTAAGATTTTCTTTATTGTTATCTACAATTATTGGTCTGATGATGTGCGATCACCTGTCATCTCTCATAGGGCAAGAGTGCGTCTAGTCCCTGGCACAGAGTTGGGACTCAATGAATATATATTGAACAGATGATGGAATAAAAACAAAGCACAGAGAGCCCTAAGTTTGAATCTTGTCTCTGCCACTTGCTAGCTCTGTGACCCTGGGCAAGGTCAGATCCACAGAGGGCTTTTTAGATCTCATTTTCTTCATTGGGAAAGTGGGGGACAATAATGCCCATGAAGATGTCAGTAAAGGAACCATGAGAACCCTGTGGCACAACACACCCATTGATGGATGATTATTCTCACTACTCTGCTGCGAGTGGAGTACGGGGCAGGGAGGACACCTTTACCCTCCCAGTGCCCTGGCAGGCCTGCTCACCTGGAGACACTTCCAGCAAGAAGCCCATCAGGGGGTACAGGGTCCCAGAGCTATTGCGCATGCACCAGTACCGGCCGGAGTCCTGGTGCCTGAGGGCCGCCATGGTGATCTTGACCTCCTTGGCCTTGGCATCATCCTGCAGCAAGTAGCGCGGCCCCTGCACCCAGCCCCGGGCAAATCCAGGCTCACATCTCTTCCTCCTGATTTTGCACCATACCTTGCCCTCCACGTGGTTTTTGCGGCTCTTATAGGAGCATTGCACAGACAGAGTCTCCCCTTCAAAGTGCTGCACTTTAGTGTACACGTTCTCGACAGGGACACCTGGGGAGACACTGCTGGTGAGCAAGGTCTGGTGACAGAGGGGGAAAGAGGCATCTGGAAGGTCGGGTTAGAGGGGAGAGGAGGTGGATACTGTCCTGCCGTCATGGAACTCAACAGTTTCAGGGAGAAACACAGCCCTACTCTGAAAGAATATCCCCCCCCCCCATCCGATGAGAGGAGATGCACAGGCCCTGTTAAAAACTAGCTCCCAGTCTGAGGGGGGAGACACAGGCCACTCCCTCAGGGAGCTTCCAGTCTGTTGGAGTAGACACTAGTCCTGCCCTCTGGGAGTTCCCAATCTCACGAGAAAGACAATAGTCCCATGCCCTTGGGGGAGTTCTAGGATGAAGATATAGGGCTAGCCCTCAGGGAACTCCCAGTCTGATGGTGGAGACACAGGCACAGCCTTCAGGGAGCCCCCAGGCTAATGGAGGAAACTCAGCCCTTACACTCAGGGAGCTCCAACTGACACAGCCCCTTTTTTCATGGTATTTTCTAGCCCAATAAGAAGGTACTAGCCCCATCTTCAGGGTTTTGTGGGAAAGACCCAGGTCTTGTCCTCAGTGAGAGAGATACACAGACACAAACAGAAGTCACAAAGTTATAAAATTCCAGAGCACAAACAACTTAGACAGATAAGAAAATCCAATATTTGAAAAAATGAAGAGTAGTTATTTATTTCACAAATAAGTTCATCATAGTTATCTTTTAAATAGCAAGTTGTCGTAGTTCATTTTAGGTACTATTTCATTTTAAAACATTCTAGTTGCATAAAACCCAGAGATTAAAAATGACCAAACATGCATGTAAGTTCCCAATGGAGGGCAAACCGAAGAACTATACAATTATTCACTTTTTGTCCACATCCTGTTACAGTCTCCGCCTAGAAATAAGATGTGGTCCGTGCATTTCACACTCCACAGCTGGCGGGGAGAGAGTAGAACTAGGGGTGGGGCGGGGAATCAGGGGACAGGGAGAGGGACAAAGCTATGATGGGCTCCCTCCACTCCACTGCCCTCCGTACCTCAGCACCTACTCCTCTTACACCCCCAGAGCCTGCCGTCAACACACACACACACACACACACACTCACACACATTTCTCCCTAGCAGGACAGAGTGCAGAGCACACATTTTGAAGTCTAAATAAATATGGGTTCAAACCCTGGTTCCACCATTGACTAACTGTGTAAGTAGACCTCATAAATCTCTGTTTCTTCATCTGCCTCAGGTTGGCTGTGGGAACTGGGCTTCAGGACAGTGCCTGGAAGGTAGCTGGGGCTCCACGTGCTTCCTTTTCTCAAATGCAGGTTGCTACAGACTTCTCCAGTAGAGCCCTGAGCTGCGATAGCCAAGGACACCGCACATGACAGGAGACATCTACCTGCTTCCAACCCAGCTGCACTACAGCTGAGGCTTGGGGTAAGGTAGCACCCTCTCTGAGCATCCCTTTGTCCCAAACGAACTAAACTGAATGACCCAACTCAGTGATTTGGTGGGTGGGAGGTTTGGGGGACCCCAGGATTGCTCTGCACAGGAGACATACTTCTGCCCTGGCAGAGGGAAGAGGCTCTCTAGGAGAGGTGTGGGGTGGGGTGCCCTTGGGAAGGGTCTGTGTTCATTTGTGCCCACCTTCCACCCTCTCACAGGCGGTGGCCAGAACTGAACAGGAAAGGGTAACTTGGTGGCCGTGGCAGTAAGGGAGGCCCCCTCAAGGGGCATTTAGTAGCTATGGGGTGAGTGAGGCCTTCAAGCATGGCTTCCCCTCAAGACAGGGGGTAGTGGCCCAAGCCACTTAGCCAGTTAAAACACACACACACGTGATGCAATGATTCATGTACGCACCAAACAGGGCTTTCTCGACAAGGAAAAAGACTTTTTGGGGGAGGAAATCAAGTGTCCATGGTCAGAGGCCCTGACCAAGGCTGGCAGTTGAAGGAGCCCACCCAGAGAGGGTCCAGAGCTTAATCTTAGTTTGTGAGTCCTGTGTTAGCTTTGCCTGGGGCCAGACAGTGGGACGTGACCTTCTTACTGGTAAGGAGCCACTAGGTCAGCCCCATCTCCTCTGCCTTCTCCTCCAACCCCACAAGGCATGAAAGGAGATTACTGGGCAAGGAAAAGCAGGGAGGGAGAGTCCCGCAAAAGGCCATCCCCTCTTCCCCGGCCAGCTCCTCTGCCCTCTCACCTGAAACAGGGCCCTGGAACCACAGCAGCGGGGGCAGCAGCAGCAAGAAGGTGGGAGCCATGGCTCCATCCAGCTGGGGACAGTCGCAGGCCAGCCGGGGGCCAGGACACCTCGAATCCAGGGTTAGGGGCCCAGGCCAATGCAGGGTGTGCCACTTAGGTCTGCCAGGGAAGGACCTGGCGTTCTGAAAGTGCAGTTGCCCATTTAGGGAAGTGAGGAAGTTGTGGGACCCACTGTGATCAGCAGACCGCGGGGCCCGCAGAGCCTACGGAGGGCGGTGCTGGATGCTGTTTACGCCCTCTTCCCCGAAACTTCAGGCAGGTGTGGCTGCTCCACCCAGTCGGCCCCCCACACCCCGCCCCCCAGCCCAGGGAAGGTTCTCGGGGTCAGAAGACTTCCCATCCTCTCCAGTCCCCCCCTGGAAACTGGCCCGGTGGGGGTGCCTCCTAGCCTGAAGCAGGGGATTGGTGTAGGGGGCTGGGGTGAGTTTTCTGGACCCTCAGCTGCGGACTCCCTGGGATTCCCTGGGCTCAGAGACCCAGTGGTAGGGGCTTGGGGCTGGGATAGGGCACCCTGGATCCTAGGTTTTCACAAACACACATTCGCAAAGAGGTTCTTGTCAACTACATTGATTCATCCACTCAGCCCTCACTGATGCGCTCCTTATGGTGCCCGGTCTCTCTTGCCAAGTTCTTGGCTGGTCAGAGCAGCCCCTCTCGCTCACACTGGCAAAGAACCCCTTCCGTGCTCCCAGACGATCTTATTTCTGTCACGGTTAGAGTGACAGACACAAAAGATGCAAATTGTTAAGGCTCAGAGCATAGTTTGGGCTCAGGGAGGGGCTTCTGTGCTGTCACACGTGAGGGCACGCGCGCACGCGCACACGCCCCCCCCGCTGTCTCTCCTTTTGACTACTCACTTGTCTCCTTATCTTTATCCCTCTCTCCCGTTCTCCTACCATCCCGTCTAATCACCCACCAGCTCGCCCCCGCCCCCCCGCGCCCCGCCTCTTTCTCGCTTGCTTCCCCTCCCCCGCTTCTCCAGAAGCCACGCCCCCAGCCCCTCGGCCCTTGGCCTGGCCCCCTGCCGCACGCGCATACCCACTCAACTTCCTCTCACTCAACCCTATCTCGCCCAGACAGCCGCCCGGCTGCAGCCGAAATGACCCAGCATTTGGCCCAAGACCCCACCCTTCACTCAGTCCTGAGCTCTAAGAATCAGAAGGATAGACTTCTGACGTCCAGGAGCTGTGTCATCTGCTCACTGGGGGCGAGGGGGGCCTACATGATTAGGTGTGCTCCCCCTACTCACCTATGCCAACTTTCTTCTCCTTAGACAGAACTCACAGTAAAAGTCTTCAACTGAGCTTGAACTCGCAAATCCCAAAACAAAGAAGCTTGATCTTTGCTGATTCCAAACTTTCAGTCTCTTAACTTACTCTCCGTTCATTCATTCATTCGTTCGTCTTTACTGTCTTATGCGCCACTCCAGGCGCCAGGTATATGGGGTAGAGGAATGAGCTATAGTTGTCACTTCAGACCTCTCAGCTCCCAGAAGACCTGTTACACTTTCTTTATTCACCCTTCCTGTTTAATATGCCTTCCCAGTGCTCAGATCCCTGCGTTCAAAGGCTCTCTGCCCTCCCAACACATCTTCCTTCCTTCCTTTCCTCCATCCCAGTGGTAAGTGGCTTTAAGAGTGGGGAGTTCTATTTGCCTCTTGGGGGGACTTATTGCCTGGAATCACAGTGATAACTGTGACGATAAGGCCATAAAAACCCAACACTCTCATTCCACTGAGAGAAGAAATATAAACTGGATTCAGTGTTTCTTGAGGGAAATTTGGAAGAATTTATCAAAAACTCTAAAAATGTGTATACATCAGGCTTTTATGTACAAGACGATTTAACACAGTACTATATTTTTTTCTTTACATTTATTTTCCCATCAAAAAACTAAGGTCTAATTTACATAGAGTAAAATAACCCTTTCCAGGAACAAAGAAAACTCCAGACTCAATTTTCTTCAACTTCTTTAGTGAGCTGCACCAAATACTTAAGATGGAATAACACTGATGTTACAGAAACAGCTGAAGGTAGAAAAGGAGACATATCCCAACTTGATTTGTAAAGTCAGAATATCCTTGACACTAAAACCTGACAAGGACATTATAGGAAAAGAAAAGCACAGATGTGCGTGCCTTATGCACATAGATAGAAACATCTCTAACAAACCATAAATAAATCAAAACCATCAATGTATATAATAACATAAAACAATATGACCAAGTAGGGTTTATCTCAGGAATGTGACCTATGTTCAACACTTGAAAATTAGTCAACCTAATTCACCACATCACCGAAATTAAGGACAATTATGGGATTATTTCAATAGATGCAGAAAAAAGCATTCGCACTACTCCCCTCACCCCCACCACCACCAATTCTTAATTTAAAACTCTCAGCAAAGCAGCAACAGAGGAGAATGTCCTGGCTTTAATAAGGGACATTTATCAAAAACCTACCTCTAACATTATATTTATGGCAAATATGTTGGCTGCATTTCCCTTAAGATCGTTCGTGGTGGACGAGGATTCTGAGAGCTCAATGCCCTGGCCTTGCTAGATGTTCAGCGTTCTAAATAGGACTCTGGCCTTTTCTTGTTTTATGGATGTGATGTCTTCTTCTGTTCCCTGAAACATTTATCTTTCACTCACAGGCAATTATTCTGTTTGTTCAATGTGATTTTCTCTTAGACTATGAATTTCATCATGTATAGAGCAGACAGAATAATGGATCTTGGTTGTCACATTTTATTTGTGGACAAAGCATTTTGGAATAATTGTCTTCTGCTCACATTTTGGGCTGCCAAGGCATCTGCTTTTGCCATGTTGATTGCATCTGATTTTTTTTTTTAACTTCTAGGAATTCCTCAGTTTCTGGTCTGCTGATTACAACCTTTCTTATTTTCAATTTAACAATTTATTTTGGGGTCATTTTTTAGCTTTTTAACATATTTGAAGTGGGAGGAGAAGAAAGCTGGTGAGATTCGTGTGCCATCTTGCTCAGTTTCCCGCTACATATTTCAGTTCAAGGACTTGCATTTGAGCACAAGAGAAAATACATAGGAATTTCAGGTAGTGCAGAGGCAAGAAACAGAGGATAGGTGAGGAAGTGAGGTAGGTGCCCAGCTGAGGGGGTAGTGAGAGAGGGCAGGAATCCAGGGAGAGAAGGAGCAGGGCTGAGGTGGGGCAAGGTGCTACCTGGGGGTCAGCCCAGGGAGCAGAGGTGTTGATCAGATGCAGAGAAACCGTCCATGGGTGATCAGCCTGGAGGAGTTGGGGCATGGTTGTTTTAACTGACATTTCTTAGATTACTAACAAGTGTGAACATCACTTGCTTGCCTTCTGGATTCTCTCTCCTGGAAATTGCCTTTCACATGTTCTACCCGTTTCCACTGGGATTCTTCTTCTTGTTGATTGGCATGGCTCCTTGTATATTATAGATTGTAATGCTATATTACTTTTAGATATTTTCAGCTAATTTTTTCCAGTCTGTCATCTGCTTGGTAAGTTTTCCTATGGTGTTATTCAATGAACAGAATTCCTCAATTTTGATGTAATCAAATTAAATATTTTTTTCCCTTACGATTTGTGCATTTGAAACTTTGTAGAAGTACTTCTTCATCCCTAGGTATTCATCTGTAGGGCTTTTTTCCTATTAACTTAATAATTTTATTTTCCACATATATGTCTTGAATCCGTCGGGAGTCCATCTTTGTGTTTAATGTTAGACAAGGATCCAATATTTTGGGTTTTGGGTTTTGTTTTGTTTTGTTTTTAAATATATTCTGCCAGTTTTCTCAAGGATGTCTACCAAATAATGGGCCCTTAGCCCCATTTATTCATGGTGCTTCCTTATGATAAAGTATGTTCCTGTGTATATATGGAACTATCTCGAATTATACCCTATGCCATTGTCTCATTTGTCACTTCTTGTTGTACCAGCACCACTGATGTCAGTTATATTACTTAGTAGTATATCTTAATATTTAGTAGGATGAGTCCTATCATTTTATTTTTATTTTTTCATGATTGACATAGTTATTCATGCATCTTTATTTTTCCATATAATTTTACAGTAAGCTTATTGAGTTCTTTAAAAAATTAAAGTAGGATGTGAGGGTGATCTGGCTGCGACATCTGTCACCCCATTGATCACCAGGGTTGATTCAGCTGATCTGGCTGGCTAGACAGGTGTCCTCCTCCTCCCTCACCACTACCCCCCTTCCCCCCACCCACCTCCCCTTCCACAACCCTCAGTTTGTTTCCCAGAGTAAAGAGTCTGTCATGGTTTGTCTCCCTCTCTGATTTCTTCCCATTCAGTTTTTCCTCCCTTCTCCTATGACCCTCTGTGCTATTTATGTTCCACTTATGAGTGAAACCATATGATAATTGTCTTTCTAAAGAGTATATGTTCTATTTACTTAACTGAGGACCCATATTTATATTGACTTACTCCTTTGCTCCCTTAAACTTATCATTATCTACATTATTTTCTTTCATGAGACAAGTACTTGCCAACGTTTCATGGTCTTCTGGTCTCTCCTTCTCACCACATGTTGATGTTGTCTGGAATGTTATTTTTCAGTTGTCATGGATATATTTTCTCTTTTTCTTCATTTTGGTTCTAGCTGCTTTTGTTTGTTTGTTGAAGAAAAAAATAGATTTATCAAGGTGCTTGATCACACTATTTCTTCACCTCTTGCAGCATCTTCTGGATTTGTTTTGTGTATTTTCTCCAAGTGTATTTTCAGTGGGGATCTTTGCATGTGGCAAACTCTCTGAGGCTTTCAAAGTCCCAAAGTATTATGATCACATATTTGAATGACAGTTTGGCTGGATATAAAATTCTAGGTACAAAGTTCTTTTTTTCAATCTTTTAATAATATTACTCAACTGTCTTCTGGCATCCAGTGCTCTTCTTAAGAATTCTAATGTAGATCTAATTCTTGTTCTTCTATAGGTGATCTGAAAGTCTTTAGAATTTACTCTTTGTCTTTGATGTTCTTACACTTCATATCATGGGTTTAGGGCTATGTGTGTGTATGTTTCCTATTTTCTCTTCTTGGCAATATAGAGTCTTTCTGATCTGAGATCTTTTCTTCTATAATTCTGAGAGGTTTATATTAATTTTTTCTTCAAATATTTCTTCCCT